AGGAGCTTCTGCAGAAGCTGGCAGCAAGAAACAGACCCAGGGATACCCAAGAGAACAAGACTGACAGCTAAGGGGGAAGTATAGCTTGCAGTGGTGTACTGACCCAGAGTGGGTGAGAAGTTGAGGGGGAAGCAGTTTCCTTATATTTCTATTATGCTTAAGGTTAAGATGGGAGGACTAGATTGTGGCTATGGGGGCAGCATGGAGGCCACAGGGATGCCCAAGAGCTACCTTTTCAGGCTCTGGGACTCCAGGGGTAGAGCAGCACACAAGCAGCTTTGCCAGGGTCAGGGATCCTAGCAGCTGCCAAAAGAGACTGGGGCCAGGGGCCTGAGCCCAGGAGGGCGAGATCAGGGTCAGGGGCCCAGAGCTCAAGAGGGCGAAACCAGGGCTGGGGCCCAGAAGCCAGGCCCAGGACAGTGGACCTAGGTTTGGGCGCACACCTAGAGGAAAGGGGCCAAAGCCAGGAGGGTGGAAACCCCCACAAAGGTTTGAGACTTAAGGGGCCAAGTGTAGAGTTAGGGCCAGGGGTCCCCTCTCCTAATACTAACTGACGCCTGGGAGATATGGACATGGCCATAGGGGAGGATGAAGACCTTGGGGTGCATATTGAAGTGCAGCTCCTCACTGTGACGGAGAACGCTGTGCAGGAAGCCTTCTGAGTTGCAACGTTCCCCTGGTAGTATTTATGTCCAATACTACCACCATTTGTATATATAAATAGCATTTCAAAGGTATAAAACTTGCAACAGAGGAAAAATTCTCAGTAAAGAGGATTACTTTCTGATCTATTAGATCTTAAGGGTCAGTTATAATTTATGTTATACTGGGTTTAAGCAAATCAATATTTAATTTTAGTTTAAAACAATACAATTTTCATCTTGTTACTGGGACTTTTAATAAACTTCTAAAACCTGCTACTTTCCAGTTAACTGCTCACATACCTTTAGTCATGAATTCAGTAACTATGTAGATTGGTTCCTCAGAAACAACAGCATATAGTGGAACAAGTTTATCATGTCGTAATTTCTTCATGATCTGAGCCTCCTGCAAGAAAGCTTCTGGCATCATTGTACCAGGTTTTAGTGTTTTGATTGCTACTTTTGTGGTTCCATTCCATGTTCCTAGGGAGACAAGTATTTTATATTACCCAGACTGTACTTAACACATTTTCAACTGAAGCTGCTTACTTTTTGCTTCAGTTTTATTATTTTATATAGATGAAGTGGTGACCATATTGATAATTAACTCTGAATTGAACTGTATATAGTATAAACATTATGGAATAAACATACCAAGGGCATAATGTACTTAAGGGGTGTTTGAGAACAAGCAAGTTACAAAAGCAAAATTCAAGTGGTTTGCGTTGCGACCTGAATCTCCTAGATAAATATTAACAAGTTTCTAACTTACATTTTACAGTATCTTCATTAGTCCTTTGCATGCTATATTCACTTGCCTCTTGCCCTTTTTTAATGCATCCGTCTTCCACTTTAACTTGTTATTGTCCTTTTTCCTCCAAACAAATTTCTGGCTGCCATACCTTCCTATGAATTTTTCTTGAAGGCAATTGCACTAGTTCTCATCTCCTCATCCAGGAATTATAGTTACAGACTAAATCTTTTCTTTCAAGGTGTGAATTCACATCTAAAAATTATGAGGGATTTTGCACTAAAAGCAGTATGCTTGAAAAATGATATTGCTATAACTGGTAATTTAGCCTTCAGCTCTTTATCAAATTATCTTTTCAGACTTTGATATTTATCTACCTAAAATATAATTAAAAGGAATTTTTACAACATCAGAGGTGTGCAACAGGCGTTTACTCTTACCCATCCACACTTCACCAAAACATCCTTGGCCCAACTTAACTTCTAACCGTAAAGATTCTCTAGGAATTTCCCAAGCGTCTTTTGCTAGTCCCTGGGTTTGTGGTTTCACAGTTGGACACACAGTTGTTAGTTTATGACACAGTCCATCAGCATGTTCTGGAAAATTAGAAAAGGAAGCTACTGAAGTTAAACATGCACAAAACTATAATGAAGTCAAATAAAAATCTAATAAAAAATAATCATTCAGTTTCTTTTACAGCACAGCCCTGGACATCACCATTATAATTTTTTATTAAAAAGAATATAACAGCATGCTTATAAAAAGCATATCAGGTCATAATTACCACTTGCTGATTTTTTTCCCCCTTTAGTAACCATTACACTAGTATTGAAACCCAGGATTCAGACTTACCTCTGTAGTGTTTTACCAACTTCTGCAGAGACTCAAATTGTGCTCTAGTTGTGATGTAGTATCCACCATTGTCAAGTTTTCTGATTTTGTAGTGTTTCACATTATCGCCCCTGACCTCATCCCAGTCACGTATAGAGAGGGAATAAGCACCTAACAAAGAGTTTAAATTCAGTCTCTCTCCAAATATATGCATACAAGTAACATGTTTGTGTATGTATACTTTTGTATGCCAAAAATTACATGCATGTGCGCGCACACACAATAAAAACAACAATTAATATTTGCCTTAGAATAAAAGTCAACTTAAAGAGAAATACCTTTAGTGGTTTCACTCTCTCGTACTAAGAAAATGCCACGCTGGTTCCCAGGATTTAACAATAATCTCTCTGCATCTTTCCTCCCCATCTTACCAAAATACCATCTAGAAATTAAAGGAAATATCTGTTGAGGTAAATAATGTACTAAAAATACTGCTTCAATAGGATGCTTTAAATAGTACACAGATTTTGTCTTTAAAAATGTTACCTAAAAATCCTAAGGGGCTTTTAAAAACACTTACAACTAAATAGTCAGAAAGATCCTGAGATCTAGATACAGTGCTGCTTTACTAGAATTACACACACAAAAATTTATAATTCATGGCTTTCATACATACTGTTTCTGGTCAAGGTCAAAAGAGCAAGGCTTGGCTCTAGTATTCATGTAAATATAGCACACAAATTTAACGCTATCAGCATTGTCTGGACTACTGCTATGAAACAGAAGGGATTAAAATAACTGACTACTTTTTGCAGCAAAACAGCTGAACTGGGATCAATGATGAATGCATTTTCATTCACTGCAAATGAATATTGACCCTGCCATTATTTGAAAGGGACACTTAATGTAATTTCTAATATAGAAAGAGAGACTTCTATCTGCAAACAGTAGGTTCCAGGACACACTAACAGAACATAACAACAAACACCCCAACACCTCCCTTCTCTTCCATGTCCCAAATTTTCTTAGGGTTAGAAGTTTAACAGCACTAGCTGGATCAGATGCACTTGAAACAATAAAACACTGCAATGGCTCAGATGCCTTAGCCTCTCCCCGCGCACCTCAGATAACTGAGCAGGTGGAATAATTTAAGACAAGTGCGAATGAGCAAGCACATTCACTTATTGTGCAGACATAAAAACTATTTTGTTGATAAACACTTTTTCCTTCCTCTACCAACTGGCCCATTTCTGTCCATATTATTTTTAAGAGTAAGGACAAGCAAATCAGCGAGTTAAGAGGGCACAGGGGCATCCTGCGCATGAGCTGCTCTATTGGTGCACCTCCTCCTACCTACAGTAACCGAAAACTAAACTGCAAAAACTTACTTTCACTCACAGCTAAGCTACCACAGTTTAGATTCAGGCAGCTTCATGGAGCAGCTGATGGATAGCAAATCCTCATCCACTTAACTCACCATAATTTCCTCCTGCGTTGATACACTGAAAAGGCTCCCTTACATTCCAAATCTCTGCAGAGTTTTCAAAATATTGTGATTTCCCCTACACAAAATTCAGCCACAAAAACAATTTTTCTCCCCCGTATCCTCTTCCAGAAAAAAAATTCCAATAGTAGAAGCAAAATTAATATTTCCAGCTAAGGACTGAAAATCTACTACCTACAAACCATCCACTATCTGCAAACCAGGTGTAGGGACAAATACTTCTTACTGGTCCTAGCTGTTTACAGTTAATATGTTGTACCTCAAAATCATAAAATTAACAAAATAACCCTCTTAGATCAATTTTTATGTCTAACATTTTAATGTGCAGCTTGGGCTTGCAGTCCTGGCATCAAGCAAGGTTAGCTTTATAGATGGAGGAATATGAACACCAGTGCCAGAAATCTCTTTAAAACAGGGGTGCTCAACTTTGAACTTGTGGGCCAAATGCTGCTTGTGGAACCAGAGCATATGGCTCATGAGGCTCCCCATAGGTTAAGTTTGGCCATGGGGGAGTGGTGGCAATTAATACGACCACCCTCCCCCACTGCCAAATTCCCAAACCCTGTGGTAAATTACAGCTAGGACTAGGCCCCTCTCCTCCATGTGGTTGGGTTGGGGCCAGGTCATGCACCCTTTCCCCTTAGGGTTGGGGCCGCATCAAACCTCCTTCCCCCTGTGGAGCTCGATGGGACACCATCATGCCTGCCCCGGGCACCGGGTCAGAACTATCAGCCAGACCCAGCCAATGGACAGAGTGGACATTGCCAATCCAGCCTACTAGGCAAAAGGGTTGAGGCACCACTGTTCTAAACATTGTTCTAACTTTTTTTTCCAAATGAGGGTTGGAGGGCAGGGGTAAGTGGGAGGGTATCTAAATGAGAGGAGAGGATGACATGGTGCAATTCTTTTATTGGTGCTTCCTTATATTAAAATGAAGAATTATAGAAAAGTAAGGCTGGAAGTGATCTCAGGAGGTCATCTAGTCCAACCTCCTGCCCTGCTTAAGGGAAGATCATCCTTACCCAACTTATCTTACAGATGTGTTCATCTTAGCCCAGAGGTATCAAACATATAGCCTGCAGTGCTGTTGTGTACAGCCTGCTGGGCTACTGGTGGGCCACAGGAAATAGGGGGGCATAGCCATGAGGAGCAAGCTGTGGCAGAATCCTAGGCCCTTGGGCCCTAGTAGATATGGCAAATCGGGGGGGGGGGGGGGGGGACGGACACGGACACTGAAGGGTGAGTAACAGTTAATACAGCCCAGCTGCCCTGTAGCTGCTTCATTTCTTGCCACTGCCACACCTCCTCAATTGCTGGCCTGGCTACTGCATACCCCATGCCAGAGCTAGAGCTGCCACAGTGGCACCAGGTATGCAGCAGTAGCAGCAGCATCTTTGGTTCCAGCACAGCACAGGGCATGCAGCAGAAGCTGTGTCATGTGCCCCATGCCAGAGCTGCTGCCATCATGTGTCCCGAATCCTGCCTGTAAGGAAACCTGTGGTCTGGATCCAGTCTAGGAAGCAAGATGAGTGGGACAGCCCTGATCTAGCCTATTCTTAAAACTGCATGAGCTATCCTTATCCATAATTACTAGGCACACTGCCTGAAAACATCAAGAATACCCTAACTTGCTATGGAAAACAGGGAGATGGAGGTGTTATTAGAGTCCTGCCACTACAAGGACAGGAACCAGTTTGTTAACATAAAAAAAATTCAAGGAAAAGGACCATAGACCTCCACTACAGGGGAAGGCAGAACCCCCACAATCTAGGCCAATCTGATCACAGGGGAAAAGTCCTTCCTGATCGGTCTGACCATGAGCTATTTATTTAAGTCCCACCAAAAGATTCCTCACACCTCAATCAAAATCTCCAGCTTTGGCAGCAGCAGAACCTACTGCTTCTGAAGACAATAACAAAATACCCAACACCTGTAACAATAGGAAGGTAAAAATCCTTCCCCAGCCAATGTGGCCACCAATAAAGCTTAGAAGCATGGGATAACTAAACATACTTCACTCTGCACTGCAATGCAGGAATTGTCAACACAGTACACATTGTGCACCCTAACTGGAGAACCAGAACTCCCTCGTCATCCTATCCCCTCCATAAAGCTGGCTGTGGAGCTCTGCTTCACTCTTTAATTCTAGTGCAGTGAGAGGAAGCCTTTTCAGCAGCTGTACCACAAATTAGGTCTGCACCATTGGTGTCACTCCAACTTGTTTTCCCTTACTTGATCCGCTGCTCCGCTTTCTATTTCCTGTTCTGTGCTCCCTGCCTGATCTCCTGCTCTTTCTGCTCCCTGCCCCATCTACCACTGTGTTGCCTGTCCTATCCCTGGTTTCCCATGTGCCACACACAGAGGCTGTCTGTGCCATTTGTGGCACACATGCCGCAGCCGGCCACCCCTGTTCTACTGCATGTATGAGGGTCTCCTGGGCTTCCAATTGTTGCTAATTGTTCAATAATAAGATAGACTGACAAAAGACTTGAATAATGCCTTACTCTTCTGCTTGAATGGAGTCTGCAGGAGCTACATAATTGCTGGGGATGTAGCCAGTCTTTCCCGTAGCAATGGATCTTGCTTCCCACCAGTCTCCTTCCCTGAAATGCAACAGCAATTATCTCTAACACACAAACAATACATCAACCTGTAAAAGATGCAAGAATCATCCACATATTTTAGTCAATACAGTACTTCACACACATTCAGAATACATCATCCCAACTATGTTGCTGCATATACAAGTACACTTTTCACTTCAACATAAGCTATGTGTACTTCTTTATTTTAAAATCTGAAATGAAATTAAGAAATGTATGAGGGGAAGGTATTTATACCTTCAAATACAAGAGAGGAAGAAACTACTTTGTAAGAAATAGAAATAGACAAGAAGTAATAATAGACAGAAAAGAAGAAACAGAAAGGAATTTGCTTTTTAGACAGAATTTTTAAGAGTCTTCTCACTTCCACATATACTTTAGACAAATTTGTTGACAATTTGGATGTGACTGTTTCATTATAAAAGATTAAAGAAAATTAACTGCTAACTTCATCTAGTGAACAAAGAGCAGCTAAAAAGGGAGATGATCCAAGGTTTGCTTTTGGTGAGGAAGGAGCAAGGAGTCCTTCTTCCTTAGAAGACACTGAATTTTCCTGCTGTTGATAGGCTGGGCGATATTATTTTAAACTAGGTTTTGATGAACAATACAGACCATTGCAAAGGAGCTGTTCAGAAAGAACAGCTTTGGATCAAGTGGTCACAAATTGATTCAATGTTAATTACACTAAACACTTGTGTGTCTATACCCTAAGACTGAGGCATCAAACATAAGCATGTGGACCAAATCTGGCCTGCAAAACCTCCTACGCAAGCTCCAGCCTCACTATCACTGCTCCACTCAGGCTTAAGTGGAAGAATGCAACAGTAATGAGCAACTAAGGGTTTTTTTTTTATTTATTCCAGAAGGGAAAAATCTGAAAAATTAAGGGTATGGACATATATGTTTGGAGCCATTTTAAAGGGCAGCAGCTGTTTTTAGGGGTGTACCAGTAAAGATTTTCTTGGCCGATACAGAAAGCCAATTATTAAGCAGCCATATCGGACACTACTGATCCAATAACTGATTTACAGCAGGGGTGTCCAACCTTTTTGAATGTGGGGCCGGATCACGAACTTTTTATCACCCAGTGGGCTGGCGAGCCATATTCAAAGACCTCACAGGAAGTGGTATCACATCAGGAAGTGATGTCACGTGACCTTTGACACCAATGAAGTTGCAGGAAGTGACAACGAAATGGGTCTAACCAGTTCAAAACTCTCCCTCTATAGTATCCACCTCTGCCACTGTTCGGGAAAGGATACTAAGCTAGATGGACCATAGGGCTGACCAAGCATGGCACTTTTTATGCTCTTATGTTCAGCAGCTCTTACGTTCTTTGTCTGAGCTGCCAAACTATGGCTGAGATTTGCAAAAAGGGGTAGATAGGCATGTTACAAAGTTGTCATAAAGGATTTGGAGCCCTCTAAATCTCATTAATTGTAACGGAAGTTGGCCTTTTGACTCAGCTTTGAAAGTCTCAGCCCAAGGTGCCAACCAAATAAGTCAAAATATATTTTGCATTTCTATGCAGTGCATCTATGTGGGGCTCTCCAAGCATTTTACGAACATGAAATGAACCTCAGGATGAGCCCATCCAGAGCAGCAGGGGCTCAGCTGCACTTTCCCCCTACCTGCGCTGGTCAGTCCCGAGTGGCACACGGCTCCGACGCCGTCTTTGCTGGCTGGTGCTAGTAGCCATGTACGCTCGGGACTGACTGGTGCAGGCGGGAGGAAAGTGCAGCTCAGCTCCTGCCGCTCCAGCCAGGCTCGTCTCGTCCCAAGCAGCACACGGCTCCACCGCTGCTTCTGGTGGCCGGTGCAGACCCAGCCGGGCTCCATCCATCCCCAGTAGCATGTGGGAAGCCAGCTTCAGCTGC